GTGGAATTCCTGGGTCAAATCGTATTTCTAATTTTAGTTTTTTGAGGAACTTCCATATTGCTTTCCACAATGGTTGAACTAATTTACGTTCCCACCAACAGTGTAGGAGGGTTCCGTTTTCTCTGCATCATCGCCACCATTTGTTGTTTCTTGTCTTTTGGATAGTGGTCATTCTGACTGGTGTGAAGTGGTATCTCACTATGGTTTTAATTTGCATTTTCCTCATGATTAGCAATGTGGAGTTTTTTCATGTGCCTGTTGGCCATCTGTATTTCTTCCTTGGAGAAATGTCTGTTCAGGTCATCTACCCATTTTTTAATCAGGTTGTTTTTTGGGCATTGAGGTATATGGGTTCTTTACATATTTTTGATGCTAACCCCTTAGCATATTAATCATTTACGGATATATTCTCCAATACTGTAGGATGCCTTTTTGTTCTGCTGACAGTGTCCTTTGCTGTACAGAAGTTTTTGAGTTTAATGTAGTCCCATTTGTTCATTTTTGCTTTTGTTTCCCTTGCCCGAGGAGATGTGTTCAGGAAAAAGTTGTTCATGTTTATATTCAGGAGATTTTTGCCTATGCTGTCTTCTAAGAGTTTTATGTTTTCATGACTTACATTCAGGTCTTTGGTCCATTTCGAGTTTCCTTTTGCATATGGAGTTAGACAGTAATCCAGTTTCATTTTCTTACATGCAGCTGTCCAATTTTGCCAACACCAGCTGTTGAAGAGGCTGTCATTTCCCCGTTGTATATTCATGGCTCCTTTATCGTATATTAATTGACCACATCTGTGTGGGTTTATATCTGGGCTCTCTATTCTGTTCCACTGGTCTGTGGGTCTGTTCTTGTGCCAGTACCAAATGGTCTTGATTACTGTGGCTTTGTAGCAGAGCTCGAAGTTGGGGAGCATAATCCCCCCAGCTTTGTTCTTCCTTCTCAGGGTTGCTTGGCTATTCGGGGTCTTTTGTGGTTTCAGATGAATTTTAGAACAATTTGTTCTAGTCCATTGAGGAATGCTGTTGGTATTTTGATAGAGATTGCATTTAATCTGTAAATTGCTTTAGACATGCACTGTATTTTAGAACTTCTCACTGCATCTTTTTATTTCCTACTGTGCCTTCCCTCACCCCAATTTATTGGCCTTTCTGAACTTCAAGACCTATTTCTTCTGAGTTATGTCCCTTGTTCACTGGTTCTATTGCTTTGTCCAGTCTTCTGCCCATACATCTACTAAACTTTTAATTTGTTACTATGTTTTCTTTTTGGCTCTTTTTCAAGTATGCTCTCACTTCTAATAGTTTTCCAATTTCTAGATGAAATTCTCAAAATTGTATTTAACTTATTAAAAGTTAGCATGGTACACCTTAACTAGTAAATGTTACATGCCAATTTTATGTCAATAAAATGGCAAGGGGAGAAGAAAAAAATAAGCATAGTTTTACAGTTCATATCTAATGATTTCAATAATTGAAGTCCCAGTTGGTTTGTCAGCACTTTTTTCCTATTTTTTTATTGTGGTAAAATACACATAACATAAAATTTACCATCTTAGCTACTTTAAAGTTTTTCATTTTTTAATTGAAGTGTAATTGGTATATAACATATTAGTTTTAGGAGTATAACATAATGACTTGATATTTGTGTATATTGCAAAATGATCACAAGTCTAGGTAATATCCTCTCGCCTTATATAGTTACAAAAATATTTTTTTGTGTGTGATGAGAACCTTAAAGATCTATTCTCTTAACTTTCAAATATGCAATGCAGTATTATAAACCATAGTTACCATGCTGAACATAACATATCTATGACTTATTACTGGAAGTTAGTACCTTTTCATTCCCTTCACACATCTTCAAACCCCCACCGTCTGCCTCTAGCAACCACCAGATACAACTGTTCTCTGTATCTGTGAGCTTTCTTTTTTTAGTTTTTACCATTCCAATTACAAGAGGAATTCCTTGTACTGTTTTTGTTTCTAAATGCCTCACTGAAAGTGAGATCATATGGTATTTGTCTTTCTCTTTCTGATTTATGTCAGTTAGCCATCCTAACTATCTCAAAGTTTATAGTTCAGTGTATTAAATACATTCATAATGTTGTACAACCTCCACCCATCCATCTCCACATTTCTTCATCTTTTAAAACTGAAACTCTGTGTCTGTTAAACAGCAACTCATTTCACTTCCCCACAAGTCCTGACAGGCACCATCCTACTGGCTGCCTTTATGATTTTGACTACTTTAAGTACCTCGTAAAAGGAATCATATACTATTTATCTTTTGTGACTGGCTTATTTTTCTTAGCATAATATCCTCATCATTCATCTATGTTGTAGCATATGTTTTGTTTATGTTGCAGTATATGTCGAAATTACCTTCCTTTTTTTTTTTTTTTT